AGCGAACGGAGTGCCCAGGATCAGTTCAGATGTCACTTGCCGCTGCTCTTAGCCGTGGCTGGGAATTGAACCCGGGCCACCGTGTTTGTAGCGCAGTTCACGAACCAATACACCCTCCCCCGTTGGCACACCCCAAAGTAAGTACCGTGTGGTCTAATAATAACAGAAAATAACAGCCGTTAATAAACGTGCACTTTGTAAAACCACTGTAGGGCAAAGGCCTCCTCCCCCACCCACATTTGAGTTGGTCACGAGCGTTATTCGACCATACTTCGCCACGCCGGCGAGCCCGTGTCGGCTTAATGTTTCGCGGCGCTGCGCGCAAGCATCCCGGCGTCCCCGAGTTGGGTTCCTGGCCACGGCTAACATCAGCGGGTGCGAGTCGGCAGAGTAACGATGGAACAGTGTGGAGCCGTTTGGTGAACGAGCCTCGACCACAACAAAACCAAAGAAAAGTGTTCCCAAACAGCTTCTGCGCACAAGTTTAGATTGCTTCTCTCAGGGTTGGAGGGGGTGGCCATAACAAACGTCAGCCCGCTCCCAAACAACGCGCGGACGTCAGCACGGTTGTGATATTTCAAATGGAAAAACGTGCGCACGGGTTCCTGACATGTCGATTTGGTAATTGGTTCTTTACCCTTCTATCTGGCAACACAACTGACACCTTTTTGCAAGGAGTCATGTTTGCATAGACCGCAATACCTGCAGTCATAATACAAACAAAAGAACATAACTCTGATAATGTGCACTGTCCTTGATGAGTATTCAGTCGGGATGTAAGGGATTACACCCCACGGTTCGGTGACGGGAATCTTATTTGTAAAAATTGCAGCACTTCTAACGGCCTTCGGATTGTTCAAGCGAACAAAATTCCGCACAACATACGCAGGTCTGCGAGCGCCGATGCCTTCCACGAGCACGCATCGTAACCCTTAAGCACCAACGTTGAAGAGATAGATCGATGCATCTTTAGACCCCCCCCCCCCTGCACCCGATTAAATAGCCAAAAACTTGACAATAGCTCAAACATCGCTCAGAAAGGGGCCTCATCGAGCTGTTAGGCGGCAGGGGATTGGCCGATGGCGGGTTTCACGCCGGCTTGTTTTTTAGGGCTCCTGTTGTGTTTCGATTTAAAGCTTTCGTGACTGCAGGGATTCATCTTCTTGGTTCTTTCTGTAAAGTCACGTAGAAGGGAAGTAATAAAATAATAAAAAATAAAACATAATAAAAGAATATAATAGAATAATATAATAATATAATATAAAATAATACAATATAATAATATATTTTATTATGTTTTATTTTTTATTATTTTATTACTTCCCTTCTACGTGACTTCACCGAAAGAACCAAGAAGACTCCTGTTGTGTGTTCAATGCAAAACGGGTCAACGGCGAAGCACGGAGCAACAACAACAAAACTCCGGCCTCGTTTTCGGCTGGCGGGCGGGCGGGCGGTGTTCACGGCATAATAACGCCGTGAATAATGCATCGACGCCAGCAGCACCGCACAGCTGTTGATGAGCGCCGCGTTACCGAACCGCTTTGGGCGGCGGCGGTGCGGTCACCGCCAGATATGCTCGGTGGCAAAAAAAAAAATGTTCCGGCAAAGCCCCTTTTTGAAAGTGCAAACTCCGTGCAAGTCAATTATATTGTCCGCATGCCAGCTGCATACTGAACGTCACATTCATCAGCCATGATTGATCCACTGCTGGTCTTGCACGATCCTGCCTCGCAATCATCCACCCAGCACCGGCGTACGATTCGCCGCCCCACGTAGTGAACGTTTAATAAAAACGTGCAGCACGGCGAATGGAACCCGTGGGTGTGCTGTGGACCAACTGGTCCCCAGGCAGTCGTTTCGTACGTACGTTGAACTTGATTCGTACCGCGTGTAGCCGACCGAGCTAATCGGAGGTGCAGGGGGAAGGAAGACACGGCATGGGGAGGCCTTCATCCAGCAGTGGATTGACAAAGGGCTGCAATAATTATCCCTACAGACCACACCCATTGAGTGAGAACTCACAATGTAACGGGACCTAGTTTCAAATACCTAAATGGATATCTACCCGTTCATGCCTGTCCACCTAAAAAGTCACCCAAACTTAGGACACTCTTGAAAGAGAGCCTTGAGACTCGGTGAGACTTCATTGCCCGGTAATCGATTGGCATGGACGGCATTATCTCGCCAAGGAGCATAAACCATCACGCGAACTAAAGGTTAATTCTCGCTGCGGCTTCCGGCAGGTCATCGGACAAAGACGGTCACCGCATCGCGCGCTTTCCGATGCGCTTCTGCGGCCGTCTGGAACGCTCTTCCGATATTAGGAAGCCACTGGAGCTATGCACGTTTAAATCATCATCTAGATTGAAAACTCATTTCTTTAGTTCTGCTTTTTGTATTACAATTTGTTGTCCTTCCCCACACCTGCAATTATCACGGTTGACTACGGAAGAAGTTCAACATACGTACATACATTAATACAATTATTATCGTGCAGCAATAACCATTTAAGACGTGCCACTCACGGACTACACGTGACTCGAGCTCGTTCATTATTAACAACTATATATCCAGGATATAATTTCACACCGGGTCTGACCAGGTCATCAGCCCAGGAACTATTTCGGACCCACACTGGCACACCACATCCTGTCAATACAACCGTGGATACTCGTCGGTTACAATCTACTACAGGCTACCAGCGACCTAAAATATATTGAGTGAGAAATTAAGCCTTTGGTAATCATGTCCATCTCATAAGTTTCCGTGCGTCGATGTACATGTATACACGACCTTTATTTTCCAGCGCACATGTGGACAGGGGGCCCACAAACAGATCAGCGAACAATCTAGTATTTCATGATCTTGTGTAAAAATGGGACATGGCATTCTGCAGTTTCACTATCACCAGCGGCCATAAACAATCCACGGTTGGATGTCAGCCTTCCCCCAAGTGTTTATTAATCGATACGTTATGCCACCTTACGTGGAATTTGATTCAGAATCTAGATTTCATTCAATAATATTTTTTGAAAACTCTGGTGTATGTGGTCGCGGCCTCTCCCAGCCACACGGTTCACGTGAACTAGTAACAACAACAACGTCCTGGATTATGAGCGCCCGGTGGCTAAAGCACAGCAAGTTGCCACAGTAGGGGGCACAGGTGGTGCATCAGCCAGTCGTCTCAGTCAGTCGACCTGTGCCATCTGGGTCTGCCCCGTGACCTCCTGCCAGCGGGCGTTCGACACTTTACGTGGCCTCAAGGTGCACATAGCCTGGCACAAGCGTCGTGGTGACGTCACCGCCACTTACTGGCGAATGGCGGTTGTTGTTGTTCAGTCTATGTATGTATGTGTGAGTCGATATGTGTAACTCTATGTGTGTGTGTGTCAGTCGATTTGTGTGTGTAACTACATGTGTGTCTGCCTTTTTCGGCCGGGCAACGCCGGGTACTCACCGCTAGTATATTATAAATGTCAAAACATCGGATTTTTCTGTGACACGTAATTCGATAAGCGGTTCATGAGCTTGGAATTTTGGTATCAAGAGGCCCAGAAAACATGCCAACTTTGTGGCTGAAATGTTCCATGTTTACTTGGAAATTGGTATCAATTGATGCATCCTTTAGACTCCTAACTGGAGTTAAACTCGCATCGCATGCGTATATCACCCGTGTCTCACTGGGAAGGGAGTTCACATTATTTATGTCATCTTGATCTAAACGGTTTATGAAATTCTCCATTTAGCAACAAGTCAGTATGTATATATATTTTCATCTTAGTAAGTAAAGACAACATACTTGCAGAAAAGCCACCTTCTTGGTATTAATTTTGTTGTAACTGGGACGGGAGGCGAATTACTCGGTTCACCGATTATGGGGGGAGGTGGGGCGGTGGGTTGTATACAGTATTTGGATATCACGAGAATTAAAGCAATGTGGAACTTTTAATAAAAAGGTCATTATCAACCTGCTCAAGTCAGGGGTGGTGTTCGTATGTGATGACCTATAAGGTGGGACATGCCACATTAACATGGCGAGAACCGGTCATTACTTATGACGACCACTTGGTGAAAATTATCAACAAGTGGTGTGTATTTATTTTATGGGCCGTGATTGTGGGGCTGGCCACTCGGCCACTGCACCACCACCACCCCCAACCCCTATCTACAATGTCACGTCATCTTGTCACACTGGAGCCAGTGGGGAAACTCCACGACATGAAGGAATTAATTGGTCCACAGTACAGCTAGATCCAATGCAGTCTCCTCTGATAGAACACCACCAGGACATCATTCATGACCACAACGACGACCGGCATCTCACCACAACCGCCACATAACCAACATCACGACCGTCAGATCACACCACAACCACCACCACCATCTTGCCACAATCACCACCATCTCGCCACAACCACCACCACCATCTCGCCACAACCACCACCACCATCTCGCCACAACCACCACCACCATCTCGCCACAACCACCACCATCTAGCTACAACCACCACCACCATCTCGCCACAACCACCACCACCATCTCGCCACAACCACCACCACCATCTCGCCACAACCACCACCATCTCGCCACAACCACCACCACCATGCCACAACCACCACCATCTCGCCACAACCACCACCATCTAGCCACAACAACCACCAACATCTAGCCACAACCACTACCACCATCTCGCCACAACCACTACCGCCATGTTGCCACAACCACTATCTTGCCACAACCACCGCCATCATATCCCACCACTGTGACCACCATTATCAACAACCGCCAACCAACAATATCACAACACACCAGAACAACCACCACCACCAGGGCTACATCACCACGACCACCACCACCACGACCACGACCACCACCACCAGGGCCACATCACCACCAGGGCCACATCACCACCAGGGCCACATAACCACGACCACCACCACGACCACCACCACCAGGGCCACATCACCACCACCACGACGACCACCACCACGCCGTACCTTTCCAATGCTGCTCCCACCGCTACTGCTTGTGTCCGAAATCCTATCCTGAACCGGGGTCTTGCCACCTCCACGCGCGGCATCTTGGGCCCCATTCTGACCTTTCCCATTGGCCGTGGACCTGCCACGACCTCCATCGACCTCCTCTGCACCACCACCGCCCTCCTCTCGCTCGACGGCCACGACCGCTGTAGGAGCAGCAGCAGAAGCAGCAGAAGCAGCCGACGAAGCTGGGATCCCCGTATGAGCGAATTCCTCCACGCAGCGCAGCCCCAGTGCCCGGAGCCTGTCGTCCGTCTCCCTGTCCACGACCAGCAGCCGCGTCTCGACGGCCACCGATTTGATGAGCGACACCACCGTCTGGTGGGATTCGCCCTCGACGTTGCGGCCGTTCACCTCGATCAGGCGGTCGCCCGCCTTGAGCCCAGCCACCTCGGCGGCGGAATCCTCCTCGACACGGCGGATGAATTGTCCCGGCTTGCCCTTCTCGCCGTGCAGGTGGAAGCCGTAGCCGGTGTCCTTGCGGACGATGTGGCACAGCCTGGGACGGAGCTCGTGGTCATTACCCGTCATCTTCGCTTGCTGGGATGTCGTCCTAACTACGGGTTGGCGTTGCGTGCTCGGCTCTTTAAGACCTGCTCGGCACCCCTCCCCCCCCAAAAAACAGTCTCTGCCCTGTTGATCTTCTGTGCCTACAATGCTGTGTGGGGTGGGCAAGGTGTACACCCCCGTGTCTCTCTCTCTGCTGCTACTGCTGCTGTGGCACACACGTGTGTGTGTGTGTTTGGCCGTGTGTCTTTGTTCCCACTGGTGTTGTTAATAGGTGCTCGCGAACTCCGCGACCAGGAGATGATGACAATGCGCACTTATCTCTCCAGCGATGTTGCTGTTCAACAACGCCACGTCAAAGAGTTACCTTGTCCCGAAGCTCCAGCACACGCACAGACACGCAGTGCACTGCGCTGAATGATCACGAGCGGCTGATGATAATGATGGCTTTATCTGCTGCTCTTGCTGCTGTCGAAGCTGAGCACGGATGGAGCCGCTTGGTGATGCCGAAGCAACGACGTCTACAGAGCCGACATCGTCCGTCACCGCCTCTCAGACTCGCTCACGAATCTTCCACGTTGGCCGCGAGCTCCTGCGACTGTCACACATCCACGGAGTGTGCCTGCTGGACTGGAGGTCACAGACAAAGAGAAGCAAAGGTAGGAAGGAGGAGGACGATGATGATGATGAGCTTCCTCGAGTTTCTCAGCAGAGATGAACCGCCGCGTTTCTTGTGAAGAACGAGACGCATCGAGAGAGAGCCCTCCCGGCTAACATCAGATCTCTCTCTCTCTCCCCCTCCTGTTGCTCGCTCGCTCTCTCTCTCTCTCACTCCCCTCCCGTGTGTGTGTGTGCCCGCCTGTTGCTGATGTTGTGTGCGGAGCAAACCAGCTGGAGGGGTGGGAGGAAGCGGTGACGTCGGCGCTTGCTGATTTACATTGCGACAGCCTCGCTCCTCCTCCTCCTCCCCCATCATCATCATCCTCCCTCCTCCTCCCTCCTCCATCCCCCCATCCTCCTCCCTCCTCCTCCTCCCCCCCCATCCTCCTCCCTCCTCCTCCTCCCCCATAATCATCATCCTCCTCCTCCCTCCTCCATCCCCCCCATCCTCCTCCCTCCTCCCCCATCATCCTCCTCCTCCTCCTCCCTCCTCCTCCATCATCATCCTCCTCCTCCCCCATCATCATCAGCATCCTCCTCCCTCCTCCTCCCCCCCCATCATCATCCTCCTCCTCCTCCCCCATCATCATCATCAACATCCTCCTCCTCCATCATCATCCTCCTCCCTCCTCCTCATCCCCCATCACCATCATCATCCTCCTCCCTCCTCCTCCTCCATCATCATCATCCTCCTCCATCCTCCTCCATCACCATCATCCTCCTGCTGCTGCTATGGCGTGGAGCGTTCGTGAAGGATGAACGCCGTACGCGTGGAGGGAGATTCGAGAGGAGGAGGGGGGGGGGGAGAGACAAAGGCGGCCGCGGGTCGTTGTGCCGGGAGCGGTAGCGGAGTGGTTAGCGAGGCTCCGCTAACAAAGTTCTGCGAGCCACCTGAGTTCGATTCCCGCTCGCGTCCGACACCGGTGATGATTTGATCTGAACTCGCCCAGCTCGACTTCGCCGTTGCATCAAGGTGCACCTAGCCTGGCACAAGCGCCGTGGCGATGTCACCGCCGCTAAGTGGCGAACGGCGGTTGTGATTGGTCTGATGTGTTGTAGGGATTGTGCTTGTGAGTGCACTGGGGAGACAAAAGCGGCCGCGCGTGGTGCTGGCATCACCCACCCACCTCGCGTGGCGTGTCTGCCCTAATATATTTTAAAATATTTGGCAGTCGCCCTCCAGCAACAACAGATGGCAGAGGAGGGTGGCTAAAACACAGCAAGTTGGCAAAGTAGGGGGCACAGGTGGTGCATCGGCCAGTCATCCCAGTCAGTCAACCCGTGGCACCTGGGTCTGTCCCGTGACCTCCTGCCAGCGGGCGCTCGACGCTTCACGTGAAATTAACGTGCACGTAGCCTGGCACAAGCGCCTTGGTTACGTTAGCGCCACTTAGTGACGAAGGGCGGTTGTTGTTATAGGGATTATGCGTTTCAGTGTGTGTTGAGTGTGCGTTTGCATGCAAAATCAGTGTTTGTGTTTAAGATGAAGTAATTCAGTGTGTGTGTTTAAAGTTTGGGTGTGAAAGTATAGTTCAGTGATTGTGTCTGTCGTTGTTGTTTTTGACACCTAAACCATATCTAACTGGCTGCGTGTGTGCTGACTCAATTGTGCACTAGGTTTGCAGTAAGTGTGTAAATATGAGTTGGTGTATATGGGTGTGTGGGCTATTGGTTTACTATATCTATATCTGGTTGGACCGGATTATACTTAGCCTATAACTGGCTGGCTTTGTGTTGTGTCATAAGCGTGTGACTGAGTGTGCCCCCCCTTCACCACCACGGCCACACCACGATGGCATGGCCTGGTCGGAGCGGGCTTGTTGCAGATTCACAGTTCCAATCCAGTGGTCAACCCCGGTTAATACTGCGGGTGTATCGACCGTAATTATGTACGCACAGTCTTGCTTCACGGTAAACGGTCAAGATCCCTTGACGTAGTGCGTAAATTTGCCAAATTTGAAAGTTATATCCGTAAAGTTACTGAATTTGGATTAGAGACGTAACAATCATCGCCGCCGCCTACTGACAGACGTATGCCCCGGGTGAATTTTGCACATGAGACTATTCTGTTCTCTTGAGCTCTCACCTGGGGTAAACACGAACAAAAACACAGTGATGAGACTGGAAGGAGCGGTTCTTGAAAATGTGAAGCTAGGTGCTTAGACCGGAAGCCAGATTGTGATGATTGTGATGATTATGATGATGAGACTGCACACGTGAACTTTCGAGATCGGATCTCGAACTGTGCAACGTCTGTGGAGTCACGCCAGTACGAACGAGCAGTGCCACACTTTACTTTTGAATTATTTGACAGAAACACTGTATGCTCTTTATGTTTTTATGCACAACATGTGACAATATTGACAGCATGCACATTCTTTACAAGAAATGCTCAGCATTTCAAGTCAAGAGGAACATCCACCATTGTGGAAGTTACGCATGATGGCACAACGGCCTGTATAAGAATGTCCAAAAAAACACATCCTAAACAATAGGAACGTATAAACAACAGACGTTGGCAACGCTACAGCTGCTTCGAGTTTCACTTTGACAGAGACAAATGCACATACTGGCAAAGCCGCAGGAAGTGCTGGGAAAGTGAGATTGTTACACCTTCACAGCGGCCTTGTTACTGACTTTTCTTGGGCCCTATCATCAAAGCGTCACAGCCGTTGAACACCGATTCCAGCTGTGGTCTGGTGTTGACGGAGCGGTGGTGCAGTACCCGAGTTCGATTCCAGTTCAGGGCCCACAAACGCCGGTGACGATGATCTAAACCGGTACTGGGCATCCCCTAGGTCGACCCAGCCTTAAGCAAGTACCTGGTGCGGTGTATAAATATCGCCATTAGGGAGACAAAGGCGTCCGGGCGTGGTGCTTGCAACCCATCCCCATCGTGTGCAGTGCCGGCCTTCATAGGTGCTCGCTAACAGCACTTGCCCCTAAAGTCTGTAAAGGCTATACGGGGGATATTTCTTTTTATTTGTGTGCACGTGTCTTTGTGCTACAATCCTGGCGATCGGTTGTGATACTTGGCCATAATTAAAGACATCTTAGTGCTATCTGAACTTGACCTGAACCTTTCTTAGGTCAAATGTGCCTGTAATGATACTTGGTACGGTGCGTAAACATTGGCACACGGGCGACAAATGGTCACATCATACCCACATTAATAGGTGCTCGCTGACAGCACGTGCACGAATGTTCAGTGCCAAATTATAACCGAACTTATTTTAAACATCATAACGTCGGAGACAAAGGTGTGGTGAGTGGACATAATAGGGGGCCGTCCATAAATGACGTCACGCGATTTTGGACGATTTTTGACCCCCCCCCCCCTTCGTCACACGGCGTCACAAAAAGTCAGACCCCCCCCCCCTCAAATATGACGTCACAAAGCTATGCCCCCCCCCCCCCCAAAAAAAATATAAAACATGCTTCAAATCGCTTTAAACTATTGTTATTGTAGTGCGTATTTAATGTGGCGCTGCACTCTGATGTTGTAGGAGAAAACATTTATTAAAGTTGCGCATTTTGATGTGACGTCACATTTTTCAAACCCCCCCGCCCCCATCGTCACAGATTGTCACAAATGTCTGACCCCTCCCCCCCCAGGTGCGTGACGTCATTTATGGACGGCCCCTAGGTGTTGGCTGGATGATCGTAATATTGATGCCACGGCTTTGATATTGAGGGTGAACATGCAAAATGCCATGAACTGTACTCGTTAATAGAATGCAAGGTCGCCAAATGGCAGTACAGCAATGGATTCTTGAATCAATCCGTATGGCGCTTTGGATAATTCTCCCTTCATATACGAGGGTTTTCTCAGAATACTCTGGTTTCCTTACCGCAAGCCCAACTTCCATATGGAATGCCAAATATGACAATTGAGGACCCTCCTAAAATTAGTTTTGAGACTCAGTGAGGCTTTCCTGGTTGAATAAAAGGCATTAGTGGTAATGTTGTTTTTCTACATGTAAGACACATTGCTTTTATTTACTCAGGAGAGCCGTACTGAGTCTCTCGTCCTGTATTTAAGACGGTCTGGCATTGGGAAGTTTGACTATTCGCAAAGTGCCTGGAGAAAACTAACAGGAAGAATGAACACACTCTCAATTATATATAAAGACAAATACCTCCACCCCCGTGTCGTCTTTTAATAGACTGCTGGGCAAGTGCTGTTAGCACCACGCCCGACTGCCTTTAGCTAGTGGTGATGTTTACACACTGCAACAGGTACTCATTTGAGGCTGAGTTGACCTAGAGGAGGCCTAAGACCGCTTCAGATAATAATCGTCGTCACTGGTGTTGGCCGTGAGCGGGAATCGAACCCAGGTAGCCGGGTTTGTAGCACATCGCGCAAACTGATCTACTACCGCTCCCCACACATATACACACACACTCATTTTAAAGTGCTTTGCTGGTGGATTGTCGATGATAATAGCAATATTTATGAGAACTATTTAATTAACACACACGCAAGAAGAGTCCTCCCATCACTAAAATAATGCGCAGTAACTTCTAAGTCCACCAGCATATGAGCCCTTCCTTTGACAATATTTTACAAGCAGGCAACACTCTCCTGATAAGACTCAGAGAAGAACAACCCCATTCGAAGAGTTTCTTTCCTTTGCCTAAAATATACGCTTCTAGGAACATTGGTCCAGATGTTCAGTGAGCAAACGTGGACCCGAAATACCACTCCTGTTTTGTTTTATTGGCTGTGTGTTACACACTCTAGATCATTTGTGGCATTGATAGATAGAGAGTGAGCAAGGCTGTGATGAACGACCTCACTGGTATCATCACGCCCATGCTTGCCAACCTGAATGTCCCTGGTGGAAACTCTCACACACGTGCTGGGCCTTCCTCCAAGCTGAGTGCTCTGTAAATTGTTAAATTAACGAGTGCTTTCAAAACCAGATTTCACTTTGGCATGGGATGTGGATCCAGGATTTTACGCATTCATTCTGCAAGCCAACATTGGACTAGAAACCAAGTGAATATAGTTTGGAGAAACACAACAAACGCAAACACCATCAATGCATACAATACACAAACAACACACACTCGCTTGTATGTAACACACATTGCACAATAAATACACTGCATACATACAGCACACTAAACAATGCTATGTTTATACAATATTCATGCACGTAATGCACACACTTCACAATATATTCACGTATGCATACACAACTGCATACATACAATGTATAC